GCCACAAATATAGAGCTTCTGTCAGTCCCCAAACTTAAAAAGAGTATGAATTTTAAAACATTAAAATAGTTCATAAAACTGAAGTGATAAACACTACCTGCAATGAACTGTAAGTGGTGATTTGCACCCTACATTTTTCTCTTTGTTATGGTTGCTCAAAGCCTGATCAACAAGTTCTATTATACCGCGACAAACTTCTGGAACTTCTCCCTCTACTGTAGGCCAGCCATTATATTGCAGTTGTGTTACTTTAAGTGTGTCATTTATTTTGCAATTAGTCACGTTAAATTCTCGACGTGTGTAATATGGACAACTTTCACTTTGCATGTATTTTACAACAATGTGATCAAATTGGATTTCATCATCGGCCCAATATCTAGGGCATCTTCTCGGGCCATCTCCAATCTATTGATAATATAAAAAACAAAAAATTACAATCCGAAAAAAACATATATTAAAATTCTAGTAAAAATGGAAGACATAAAGCGCATGCGCATACTTTTTATATGATAGATATTGTAATATTAATTATTGACGTATGTAAATAATATTAAAAACTAGCTGTCTCGGTCCGCGTTGCCGGCCCGTACTTTTACTCTTTAATGCATTTTTTTAAAGTGTTTCCAAAGTTTAGAATACCCTGCTGCGTGGTATTTAGTTTTGCCCAACTCATAATTGAGGGTAGAATGACTGCAGAACAGTCAAAGATTACTAAGAAATTAAATATTTAAATTGAATTACTCTTACATCTATTACCATAACATGGGAATTAATTTTTGGTCATTTAAATTGTGCGTTGGAGACCGTTTAAAGTCCAAATTTTATGCGATTATCCACTTAATATTCGGTATTTCACTGATTGCAGTCCGAATGAATTTTGCATTTTGAGTTCTCATTGGACGGCTTTCCCACATAAAAGAAGTGGTCCACGTTTTGAAATGAGCCCATAGTGTTTGTCGGTCAATTTTGCTTGTATAAATTTGTTCGCATCTTCCAGCTGAAGCACGATGTAGGTCCTGGAGTTGAAAGCTAGATGTCAATTTTAGACATAAAAGATCGCCATTTAACATCGAATTGCGCACACACTTTAAAACAGGAAAAACAAATTGAAAAAAAATCTTTAACTTGTTCGCTGATTTTTTACAAGAAACAAATAATTTTGAATTTCGATTCCATTGAAAATTTTTTCTTGATTTTTTTCCGATTTTAGAATTTTTGCAATGAGGTAGTCTCTTTTAATTTTTATTTTTTTAGCGATTTTGCAAAAGTAATTATCCTTTAACCTTGTTGTGACCGCGCTAAATTATTTAGCCACTACATGATTTGCATAAAACCAAAACCAAAAAAGACTAAAAATCATATAAGAATTCAATTAAAAAAAAAAAAAAACTACAAATGTACATTCGAAAATAGTAAGTCAAAATGAAAAGAAATAATGCAAAATAAAACATTACTATTGTACATTTCAAAAGTCAAAATAATAACGTTCAAATTTCACATTTTTACGCGAGATATAAGCATTCTAGCTAACATCCCCTTCCTTTGTAGAAATACATTGTGTATATTTCGCTATACATATCAGATATATTTACTATCAATATCTACGTACCTGTCAGATTTGACCTGATTAAAAATATTCGTGGTATAATCTACACTTTGACTTTTACTTAACACAAATTTTATGGTCTATTTCACCCACCAAATATTACGCGATGTTCAAAAAATTTGGAAGGCTAACCCCACGCTAACACCCGCTTCGATACTTTAATGATTGCAGTCCCATTGAATTTTGCATTTTGAGTTCTCATTAGACGGATTATTGTCATATGAAAGAAGTAGGTCCATGTTTTGAAATGAGCCCATAACGCATTGTCAGTCAATTTTGTTTTTTTTTTTAATCTGTTCGCATCTTGTAGCTGAAGCACGATGTAGGTCCTGGAGTTGAAAGCTAGATGCCAATTTTATGCATGAAAGATCGCCATTTAACATCGTATTGCGCACTCATTTAAAAAAATCTTAATCTTACTGATATTTTAAGCATATTTTTAAAGGTTCTTACGAAGTTTGGCAATAGAATGTACTATAATTTTAAAATTGAACATTATTTCTCGATTTCTTTTCCGATTTTACTCTTTTTTTTATACCCTCCACCATACTATAGAGGGTATATTAATTTTGTCATTCCGTTTGTAACTCCTCGAAATACTCATGTCAGACCCAACAAAGTATATATATTCTTGATCAGCGTAAAATTCTAAGTCGATTTAGCCATGTCCGTCCATCTGCCTTTCCGTCTGTCTGTTGTAATCACGCTATCTTTCGAACGAATTGAGATAGAAGGCTAAAATTTTGCACACGTGTTTATTTTTCCAGTAGGCAGGTTAAGTTCGTAAATGGGCCATGTAGGTCTACGTTTTCATATAGCCCCCATATATAAGTACCTCCCGATATTCGGTATTTTGATGATTTTAGCGACATTATTAACCAGAATTGTTTCAACTTTGGTATTTGAAATCCGAAATTGATACTACAGCCTATGACAGAAAATTATCTATGCAGGTTCACGTCTTCGTATAGCCTCCATACAACGGCATCTCCCGATATTCGGTATTTTGATGATTTTAGCGACATTATTCACCGAAATTTTTTGAGATGTGGTATTTGAAATCCGAAATTGATATTACAGCCTAAAACAGAAAATTATCTGTACAGGTTCACGTCTTCGTATAGCCCCCATATAACGGTACATCCAAAAATTCGGTATTGTGATGACTTTAACGGAATTGTTTCAAATTACATATTTAGGAATAATGAGTAAAACCAACTTAGTAGTTCCCAATTTTATTTTATCCTTTTAAATGTTCTATATTGAATAGTTTTGTAACATTCAATCGAAAATTGGCTGACAAAATGGAGAATATCGGTAAATGCAAGCAAGTGCACACATTATACTTTTGCTCTAAGACGTGAACTTTTCCCCACGATAAAAATCTTTAATACTCAAGTTCCACAGAAAGATACCGTAAAATATCTCGGAATGCACGTGGACCGAAGACTTACATGGGAGCAACACATCGATGCAAAAATCACGCAAATTAAACTAAAAAAGGCCAATCTTGAGTGGTTAATTGGTATACGTTCTTCTATTAAATTAGAATACAAAGTCCTATTATATAAGACTGTAATAAAGCCAATTTGGACGTATGGCATACAGCTCTGGGGCACAGCTAGTGCCTTTAACGTAAGTAAACTACAAAGAAGACAGTCGAATATTCTTCGATCTATTACAGGTGCACCATGGTACATAAGGAACGCAAACATCCACAAGGACCTAAATATACTTACTGTTGAAGAAGAATTAAAGAAGCTTTGCCGAAAGTACTTAAACAAACTATCCGAGCACCCAAATAGCTTGGCCCGCCAACTCCTACTATTCGGAGAACACGATAGACTGCGCAGACGTGACACTCTTTCTATCATATAGCTTATTTTTGTTGTCTTACTCTCTCATTATTTTCAGCTCTTGTCTGAACGTCGCCCACTGTTATACTTCTACAGATAGTAGTATGGTAAATTGGAAGCTGCTTCTGTGAAGAAATCGAAAAAACTATTACGGTAGTCCGCGGGAAGATTAGTGAAGAAAGCGATAAGACTATTACTGCAGTCCGCGGGATGATTAGATATAACTGTATCTAAACAAAGCAACATTATATCCGTAAGACTATATCTGTAGTCCGCGATTCACTTAGATATAACTGTATCTAAACTAATCTTAACTACCTACTCAATTAATTCACGGATATAACTGTATCCACAAGCCCATAAAATAACACACATCAATATCATAAAAAAATATGAATAATTAATAATTAAAGCATGAAAAAAATATGGGGTGATTGTATTGACAACCTCCCTATAATTGTTATTTTCCTTAAATAAATGAAAGATTTAATAAATTAAAAAAAAAAAAAAAATATATATATATATATATATATATATATATATATACATATATACATATTTTGAATAGGCTGATCTTACTTTTCAGCCATAGGCTTTGATTTGAGTGTTAAAAAACCATTTGATATAGAACATCTAAAAAGGATAAAATAAAATTGGGAACTACCAAGTTGGTTTTACAAAGAACTACCAACATGTCTGCAGTTTGGAGAGCTTCATTCTTTCCTCTGCATTTATTAAACTTCTTTAAGCATACTGATGAGGTCGACTCCTAACCTGATAACAAAGCAGTGTAACTAGAAAAAGAAAACGCCGCGAGATGATGTTTCTCGTTCCGTGGCTGGAAGGGAACTCAATTTATTTACAACATATTCTTAACACTAAAGCATGCATTTTATTTATTTGTGATCGACCCTTTCTTATCTTCTGTTTATGGCCGTGACATTTATTACAAAATTTATTACCGACCATAAACATAGCATATGGAAAACGCATGCATCGTAAGTGTTTTCTTTATTTAACTAATTTACATTCTTCGGAAAAGACAAATAAAAACGATATAAGAATTTAAAGAACAACACAAAAACTATTTTTAAAACAGTTTCTACACTACAGTTTCTACAAAACTAAACACATACTTTACGTATCTGACCTTTCACGTTTATACTGTTGATAGCAGTTCATTAACTTTTTTGTGGAGATGTTTTTTATTATTATTATTATTACCCAGATTAAATATTTAAGGCAAATAAATGAGGTTAAAGGTTTTATATCTCCAAGGAATGAACATGATTTTTTGGAATCGTTAAAAAAACCGTTTCTAATAGTTCGACAGCGCAACCCTGTTTAAGTCACTCTACCTAACTGCACGTCAGCTTTAAAAGGCATTGTGCTGCTATTTTTTTTAACAAGTGTTACCAAATAATAATAATATGGACTAAACACACACATATGTTCTACTCACCATTTAACAATATTCATTTTAAATTTTAATCGGATCATTCTAGGCATGCGTTTCAGATGATATCAAAAACATGATATTATAGTTAATTAAACAAATTTCTGTATAAAACTTTTTATTTGTTATACATATAAAATTTTACACTTAAAGTCCTTTGGTTATCCGCTTAACACATTATGCTACCAGTAGTTGAATAAGATTGAATAATATATAATGGTATGTTGAACTTACAAAATTATCTTAAGATTTTATACAAAATGATCGGTGTTATATAAAATATTAAATCTATTTGAGTATAAGTGATAAATGGCTTCTCCTTTGTTTAGTTATAGCCGATGCGATTACGTTTATTCAGAAGATAATTTATGGAGATCGGCGTAGTTGACTATAGCACGATATAGGAACTCATATTGTGCCTGAAAAAAGGATAGTTCAATAAAATATTACTTATATAAGAATATGTTCTTACATATGTGTCGAGAAGCCTTGGTCTTTGAGATCTTATTTTCCTAGCTGTTGTACATATATCGACGCACTTTTCATTTCGCAGCTGCTGCACAAGAATGCACATGGCCACAAATATAGAGCTTCTGTCAGTCCCCAAACTTAAAAAGAGTATGAATTTTAAAACATTAAAATAGTTCATAAAACTGAAGTGATAAACACTACCTGCAATGAACTGTAAGTGGTGATTTGCACCCTACATTTTTCTCTTTGTTATGGTTGCTCAAAGCCTGATCAACAAGTTCTATTATACCGCGACAAACTTCTGGAACTTCTCCCTCTACTGTAGGCCAGCCATTATATTGCAGTTGTGTTACTTTAAGTGTGTCATTTATTTTGCAATTAGTCACGTTAAATTCTCGACGTGTGTAATATGGACAACTTTCACTTTGCATGTATTTTACAACAATGTGATCAAATTGGATTTCATCATCGGCCCAATATCTAGGGCATCTTCTCGGGCCATCTCCAATCTATTGATAATATAAAAAACAAAAAATTACAATCCGAAAAAAACATATATTAAAATTCTAGTAAAAATGGAAGACATAAAGCGCATGCGCATACTTTTTATATGATAGATATTGTAATATTAATTATTGACGTATGTAAATAATATTAAAAACTAGCTGTCTCGGTCCGCGTTGCCGGCCCGTACTTTTACTCTTTAATGCATTTTTTTAAAGTGTTTCCAAAGTTTAGAATACCCTGCTGCGTGGTATTTAGTTTTGCCCAACTCATAATTGAGGGTAGAATGACTGCAGAACAGTCAAAGATTACTAAGAAATTAAATATTTAAATTGAATTACTCTTACATCTATTACCATAACATGGGAATTAATTTTTGGTCATTTAAATTGTGCGTTGGAGACCGTTTAAAGTCCAAATTTTATGCGATTATCCACTTAATATTCGGTATTTCACTGATTGCAGTCCGAATGAATTTTGCATTTTGAGTTCTCATTGGACGGCTTCCCCACATAAAAGAAGTGGTCCACGTTTTGAAATGAGCCCATAGTGTTTGTCGGTCAATTTTGCTTGTATAAATTTGTTCGCATCTTCCAGCTGAAGCACGATGTAGGTCCTGGAGTTGAAAGCTAGATGTCAATTTTAGACATAAAAGATCGCCATTTAACATCGAATTGCGCACACACTTTAAAACAGGAAAAACAAATTGAAAAAAAATCTTTAACTTGTTCGCTGATTTTTTACAAGAAACAAATAATTTTGAATTTCGATTCCATTGAAAATTTTTTCTTGATTTTTTTCCGATTTTAGAATTTTTGCAATGAGGTAGTCTCTTTTAATTTTTATTTTTTTAGCGATTTTGCAAAAGTAATTATCCTTTAACCTTGTTGTGACCGCGCTAAATTATTTAGCCACTACATGATTTGCATAAAACCAAAACCAAAAAAGACTAAAAATCATATAAGAATTCAATTAAAAAAAAAAAAAAAACTACAAATGTACATTCGAAAATAGTAAGTCAAAATGAAAAGAAATAATGCAAAATAAAACATTACTATTGTACATTTCAAAAGTCAAAATAATAACGTTCAAATTTCACATTTTTACGCGAGATATAAGCATTCTAGCTAACATCCCCTTCCTTTGTAGAAATACATTGTGTATATTTCGCTATACATATCAGATATATTTACTATCAATATCTACGTACCTGTCAGATTTGACCTGATTAAAAATATTCGTGGTATAATCTACACTTTGACTTTTACTTAACACAAATTTTATGGTCTATTTCACCCACCAAATATTACGCGATGTTCAAAAAATTTGGAAGGCTAACCCCACGCTAACACCCGCTTCGATACTTTAATGATTGCAGTCCCATTGAATTTTGCATTTTGAGTTCTCATTAGACGGATTATTGTCATATGAAAGAAGTAGGTCCATGTTTTGAAATGAGCCCATAACGCATTGTCAGTCAATTTTGTTTTTTTTTTTAATCTGTTCGCATCTTGTAGCTGAAGCACGATGTAGGTCCTGGAGTTGAAAGCTAGATGCCAATTTTATGCATGAAAGATCGCCATTTAACATCGTATTGCGCACTCATTTAAAAAAATCTTAATCTTACTGATATTTTAAGCATATTTTTAAAGGTTCTTACGAAGTTTGGCAATAGAATGTACTATAATTTTAAAATTGAACATTTTTTCTCGATTTCTTTTCCGATTTTACTCTTTTTTTTATACCCTCCACCATACTATAGAGGGTATATTAATTTTGTCATTCCGTTTGTAACTCCTCGAAATACTCATGTCAGACCCAACAAAGTATATATATTCTTGATCAGCGTAAAATTCTAAGTCGATTTAGCCATGTCCGTCCATCTGCCTTTCCGTCTGTCTGTTGTAATCACGCTATCTTTCGAACGAATTGAGATAGAAGGCTAAAATTTTGCACACGTGTTTATTTTTCCAGTAGGCAGGTTAAGTTCGTAAATGGGCCATGTAGGTCTACGTTTTCATATAGCCCCCATATATAAGTACCTCCCGATATTCGGTATTTTGATGATTTTAGCGACATTATTAACCAGAATTGTTTCAACTTTGGTATTTGAAATCCGAAATTGATACTACAGCCTATGACAGAAAATTATCTATGCAGGTTCACGTCTTCGTATAGCCTCCATACAACGGCATCTCCCGATATTCGGTATTTTGATGATTTTAGCGACATTATTCACCGAAATTTTTTGAGATGTGGTATTTGAAATCCGAAATTGATATTACAGCCTAAAACAGAAAATTATCTGTACAGGTTCACGTCTTCGTATAGCCCCCATATAACGGTACATCCAAAAATTCGGTATTGTGATGACTTTAACGGAATTGTTTCAAATTACATATTTAGGAATAATGAGTAAAACCAACTTAGTAGTTCCCAATTTTATTTTATCCTTTTAAATGTTCTATATTGAATAGTTTTGTAACATTCAATCGAAAATTGGCTGACAAAATGGAGAATATCGGTAAATGCAAGCAAGTGCACACATTATACTTTTGCTCTAAGACGTGAACTTTTCCCCACGATAAAAATCTTTAATACTCAAGTTCCACAGAAAGATACCGTAAAATATCTCGGAATGCACGTGGACCGAAGACTTACATGGGAGCAACACATCGATGCAAAAATCACGCAAATTAAACTAAAAAAGGCCAATCTTGAGTGGTTAATTGGTATACGTTCTTCTATTAAATTAGAATACAAAGTCCTATTATATAAGACTGTAATAAAGCCAATTTGGACGTATGGCATACAGCTCTGGGGCACAGCTAGTGCCTTTAACGTAAGTAAACTACAAAGAAGACAGTCGAATATTCTTCGATCTATTACAGGTGCACCATGGTACATAAGGAACGCAAACATCCACAAGGACCTAAATATACTTACTGTTGAAGAAGAATTAAAGAAGCTTTGCCGAAAGTACTTAAACAAACTATCCGAGCACCCAAATAGCTTGGCCCGCCAACTCCTACTATTCGGAGAACACGATAGACTGCGCAGACGTGACACTCTTTCTATCATATAGCTTATTTTTGTTGTCTTACTCTCTCATTATTTTCAGCTCTTGTCTGAAAGTCGCCCACTGTTATACATCTACAGATAGTAGTATGCTAAATTGGAAGCTGCTTCTGTGAAGAAATCGAAAAATCTATTACGGTAGTCCGCGGGAAGATTAGTGAAGAAAGCGATAAGACTATTACTGCAGTCCGCGGGATGATTAGATATAACTGTATCTAAACAAAGCAACATTATATCCGTAAGACTATTTCTGTAGTCCGCGATTCACTTAGATATAACTGTATCTAAACTAATCTTAACTACCTACTCAATTAATTCACGGATATAACTGTATCCACAAGCCCACAAAATAACACACATCAATATCATAAAAAAAAATATGAATAATTAATAATTAAAGCATGAAAAAAATATGGGGTGATTGTATTGACAACCTCCCTATAATTGTTATTTTCCTTAAATAAATGAAAGATTTAATAAATTAAAAAAAAAAATATATATATATATATATATATACATATATACATATTTTGAATAGGCTGATCTTACTTTTCAGCCATAGGCTTTGATTTGAGTGTTAAAAAACCATTTGATATAGAACATCTAAAAAGGATAAAATAAAATTGGGAACTACCAAGTTGGTTTTACAAAGCACTACCGACATGTCTGCAGTTTGGAGAGCTTCATTCTTTCCTCTGCATTTATTAAACTTCTTTAAGCATACTGATGAGGTCGACTCCTAACCTGATAACAAAGCAGTGTAACTAGAAAAAGAAAACGCCGCGAGATGATGTTTCTCGTTCCGTGGCTGGAAGGGAACTCAATTTATTTACAACATATTCTTAACACTAAAGCATGCATTTTATTTATTTGTGATCGACCCTTTCTTATCTTCTGTTCATGGCCGTGACATTTATTACAAAATTTATTACCGACCATAAACATAGCATATGGAAAACATATGCATCGTAAGTGTTTTCTTTATTTAACTAATTTACATTCTTCGGAAAAGACAAATACAAAAGATATAAGAATTTAAAGAAGAACATTCAACACAAAAACTATTTTTACAACAGTTTCTACACTACAGTTTCTACAAAACTAAACACATACTTTACGTATCTGACCTTTCACGTTTATACTGTTGATAGCAGTTCATTAGCTTTTTTGTGGAGATGTTTTTTATTATTATTATTATTACCCAGATTAAATATTTAAGGCAAATAAATGAGGTTAAAGGTTTTATATCTCCAAGGAATGAACATGATTTTTTGGAATCGTTAAAAAAACCGTTTCTAATAGTTCGACAGCGCAACCCTGTTTAAGTCACTCTACCTAACTGCACGTCAGCTTTAAAAGGCATTGTGCTGCTATTTTTTTTAACAAGTGTTACCAAATAATAATAATATGGACTAAACACACACATATGTTCTACTCACCATTTAACAATATGTATTTTAAAATTTAATCGGATCATTCTAGGCATGCGTTTCAGATGATATCAAAAACATGATATTATAGTTAATTAAACAAATTTCTGTATAAAACTTTTTATTTGTTATACATATAAAATTTTACACTTAAAGTCCTTTGGTTATCCGCTTAACACATTATGCTACCAGTAGTTGAATAAGATTGAATAATATATAATGGTATGTTGAACTTACAAAATTATCTTAAGATTTTATACAAAATGATCGGTGTTATATAAAATATTAAATCTATTTGAGTATAAGTGATAAATGGCTTCTCCTTTGTTTAGTTATAGCAGATGCGATTACGTTTATTCAGAAGATAATTTATGGAGATCGGCGTAGTTGACTATAGCGCGATATAGGAACTCATATTGTGCCTGAAAAAAGGATAGTTCAATAAAATATTACTTATATAAGAATATGTTCTTACATATGTGTCGAGAAGCCTTGGTCTTTGAGATCTTATTTTCCTAGCCGTTGTACATATATCGACGCACTTTTCATTTCGCAGCTGCTGCACAAGAATGCACATGGCCACAAATATAGAGCTTCTGTCAGTCCCCAAACTTAAAAAGAGTATGAATTTTAAAACATTAAAATAGTTCATAAAACTGAAGTGATAAACACTACCTGCAATGAACTGTAAGTGGTGATTTGCACCCTACATTTTTCTCTTTGTTATGGTTGCTCAAAGCCTGATCAACAAGTTCTATTATACCGCGACAAACTTCTGGAACTTCTCCCTCTACTGTAGGCCAGCCATTATATTGCAGTTGTGTTACTTTAAGTGTGTCATTTATTTTGCAATTAGTCACGTTAAATTCTCGACGTGTGTAATATGGACAACTTTCACTTTGCATGTATTTTACAACAATGTGATCAAATTGGATTTCATCATCGGCCCAATATCTAGGGCATCTTCTCGGGCCATCTCCAATCTATTGATAATATAAAAAAAAACAAATAATTACAATTCGAAAAAAAACATATATTAAAATTCTAGTAAAAATGGAAGACATAAAGCGCATGAGCATACTTTTTATATGATAGATATTGTAATATTAATTATTGACGTATGTAAATAATATTAAAAACTAGCTGTCTCGGTCCGCGTTGCCGGCCCGTACTTTTAGTCTTTAATGCATTTTTTTTTAAGTGTTTCCAAAGTTTAGAATACCCTGCTGCGTGGTATTTAGTTTTGCCCAACTCATAATTGAGGGTAGAATGACTGCAGAACAGTCAAAGATTACTAAGAAATTAAATATTTAATTTGAATTACTCTTACATCTATTACCATAACATGGGAATTAATTTTTGGTCATTTAAATTGTGCGTTGGAGACCGTTTAAAGTCCAAATTTTATGCGATTATCCACTTAATATTCGGTATTTCACTGATTGCAGTCCGAATGAATTTTGCATTTTGAGTTCTCATTGGACGGCTTTCCCACATAAAAGAAGTGGTCCACGTTTTGAAATGAGCCTATAGTGTTTGTCGGTCAATTGTATAAATTTGTTCGCATCTTCCAGCTGAAGCATGATGTAGGTCCTGGAGTTGAAAGCTAGATGTCAATTTTAGACATAAAAGATCGCCATTTAACATCGAATTGCGCACACACTTTAAAACAGGAAAAACAAATTGAAAAAAAAATCTTTAACTTGTTCGCTGATTTTTTACAAGAAACAAATAATTTTGAATTTCGATTCCATTGAAAATTTTTTCTTGATTTTTTCCGATTTTAGAATTTTTGCAATGAGGTAGTCTCTTTCTTTTAATTTTTATTTTTTTAGCGATTTTGCAAAAGTAATTATCCTTTAACGTTGGTGTGACCGCGCTAAATTATTTAGCCACTACATGATTTGCATAAAACCAAAACCAAAAAAGACTAAAAATCATATAAGAATTCAATTCAAAAAAAAAAACTACAAATGTACATTCGAAAATAGTAAGTCAAAATGAAAAGAAATAATGCAAAATAAAACATTACTATTGTACATTTCAAAAGTCAAAATAATAACGTTCAAATTTCACATTTTTATGCGATTTTTTGGATTTTACCCTTTTCTTGGCAGAAAATCTGAATCAGTAAAAAAAAAGAAAATCAGCGGTTCATGAGTCGTAGTAACTAACACAACTTTCTTTTTTATATATAGATAGCCAGAAACAAAAAAAAAAAATAGAACACACATATTAAAAAATAGACATGTTATAAAAATTTTATAAAAACGTTTGCTTATTAGTGGAGAAAGATGGTAATGTACACCAAGGTAAGGAAGGGAATACCATAATTCCGGAAAGAGCCACCAATCGTCATAAGTTCCCTTGTTTTTTTTTTTTTTTTTTTTTTTTTTTTGCCTGGAGATATTCTTCCCAGTTGACGAGATCGTTTTAGCAAATATAATTTAAAGCCGAAAGGAACTAATATTTAGCAGGCTTTCATCATATTCTACTAAATTTGACGAAGACATTTGTGTCTTAACCGATATTCATCAAAGTTCTTCCTATTTTTAGGCACAATTTTGTGGGTATCGTGGTGCGTAGTGCATATTACGAATGTGGAGGAGAAATTTAACAAATCGAATGAATAATATATATGGGAGCTATAGCTATATCTAAACCGATTTCCACTAAATTCGACAGGTCCTAACTAGAGACACCAATTTAACAGAGAAAATAACATAGCTATGTTAGCGTTAAGAAAGCTACATAAAAATTGTTTTTTCCTTCTTTTTTTTTTTTTTTTGATTTTTAATTACTTATCGTATAAAAACGCTAACAAAATGCATTATATAATCATAATTAAGTTATATTCCAAAGATTGTAAGGCTACATACACCCATTAACTCGTAGCACAATACTATGTGCCAGGACAAGTTTACACCAAACTGTGCCTTCCAGGACAATTCTGCCGGCACAATATGGGTACCTGCGGAAAGCTTATGAAGTCTACTATCCATTGGCATTAAGAAAATTATAGGAAGTTCCGGCCAATTCCGAGGTATATGGTCATTTCTGGAGGTATCCTTGGAACAGGATAACTCCATTGGCCAATATGTCTTCCTGGACAATTCTGCCGACACAATATGGGTACCTGTGGAAAGCTTATGAAGTCTACTATCCATTGGCATTAAGAAAATTATAGGAAGTTCCGGCCAATTCCGAGGTATATGGTCATTTCTGGGGTATGACGAATGTTAGTACAAAAAATTATGCAAATCGGTCCAGCCGTTCTCAAGTGATTCCATTACCAACGAACAACAATTGATTTTTATACCCTCCACCATACTATGGAGGGTATATTAATTTTGTCATTCCGTTTGTAACTCCTCGAAATACTCATGTCAGACCCAACAAAGTATATATATTCTTGATCAGCGTAAAATTCTAATTCGATTTAGCCATGTCCGTCCGTCCGCCTTTCTGTCTGTCTGTTGTAATCACGCTATCTTTCGAACGAATTGAGATAGAAGGCTAAAATTTTGCACACGTGTTTATTTTTCCAGTAGGCAGGTTAAGTTCGTAAATGGGCCATGTAGGTCTACGTTTTCATATAGCCCCCATATATAAGTACCTCCCGATATTCGGTATTTTGATGATTTTAGCGACATTATTAACCAGAATTGTTTCAACTTTGGTATTTGAAATCCGAAATTGATAAACAGCCTATGACAGAAAATTATCTATGCAGGTTCACGTCTTCGTATATCCTCCATACAACGGCATCTCCCGATATTCGGTATTTTGATGATTTTAGCGACATTATTCACCGAAATTTTTTGAGATGTGGTATTTGAAATCCGAAATTGATATTACAGCCTAAAACAGAAAATTATCTGTGCAGGTTCACGTCTTCGTATAGCCCCCATATAACGGTACATCCCAAAATTCGGTATTGTGATGACTTTAACGGAATTGTTTCAAATTACATATTTAGGAATAATGAGTAAAACCAACTTAGTAGTTCCCAATTTTATTTTATCCTTTTAAATGTTCTATATTGAATAGTTTTGTAACATTCAATCGAAAATTGGCTGACAAAATGGAGAATATCGGTAAATGCAAGCAAATGCACACATTATACTTTTGCTCTAAGACGTGAACTTTGCCCCACGATAAAAATCTTTAATACTCAAGTTCCACAGAAAGATACCGTAAAATATCTCGGAATGCACGTGGACCGAAGACTTACATGGGAGCAACACATCGATGCAAAAATCACGCAAATTAAACTAAAAAAGGCCAATCTTGAGTGGTTAATTGGTATACGTTATTCTATTAAATTAGAATACAACGTCCCATTATATAAGACAGTAATAACGCCAATTTGGACGTATGGCATACAGCTCTGGGGCACAGCTAGTGCCTTTAACGTAAGTAAACTACAAAGAAGACAGTCGAATATTCTTCGATCTATTACAGGTGCACCATGGTACATAAGGAACGCAAACATCCACAAGGACCTAAATATACTTACTGTTGAAGAAGAATTAAAGAAGCTTTGCCGAAAGTACTTAAACAAACTATCCGAGCACCCAAATAGCTTGGCCCGCCAACTCCTACTATTCGGAGAACACGATAGACTGCGCAGACGTGACACTCTTTCTATCATATAGCTTATTTTTGTTGTCTTACTCTCTCATTATTTTCAGCTCTTGTCTGAACGTCGCCCACTGTTATACTTCTACAGATAGTAGTATGCTAAATTGAAAGCTGCTTCTGTGAAGAAATCGAAAAAACTATTACGGTAGTCCGCGGGAAGATTAGTGAAGAAAGCGATAAGACTATTACTGCAGTCCGCGGGATGATTAGATATAACTGTATCTAAACAAAGCAACATTATATCCGTAAGACTATTTCTGTAGTCCGCGATTCACTTAGATAAAACTGTATCTAAACTAATCTTAACTACCTACTCAATTAATTCACGGATATAACTGTATCCACAAGCCCACAAAATAACACACATCAATATCATAAAAAAATATGAATAATTAATAATTAAAGCATGAAAAAAATATGGGGTGATTGTATTGACAACCTCCCTATAATTGTTATTTTTATTATATATATATATATATATATATATATATATATATATATATATATATATATATATATATACATATTTTGAATAGGCTGATCTTACTTTTCAGCCATAGGCTTTGATTTGAGTGTTAAAAAACCATTTGATATACAACATCTAAAAAGGATAAAATAAAATTGGGAACTACCAAGTTGGTTTTACAAAGCACTACCGACATGTCTTCAGTTTGGAGAGCTTCATTCTTTCCTCTGCATTTATTAAACTTCTTTAAGCATACTGATGAGGTCGACTCCTAACCTGATAACAAAGCAGTGTAACTAGAAAAAGAAAACGCCGCGAGATGATGTTTCTCGTTCCGTGGCTGGAAGGGAACTCAATTTATTTACAACATATTCTTAACACTAAAGCATGCATTTTATTTATTTGTGATCGACCCTTTCTTATCTTCTGTTTATGGCCGTGACATTTATTACAAAATTTATTACCGACCATAAACATAGCATATGGAAAACGCATGCATCGTAAGTGTTTTCTTTATTTAACTAATTTACATTCTTCGGAAAAGACAAATAAAAACGATATAAGAATTTAAAGAAGAACATTCAACACAAAAACTATTTTTAAAACAGTTTCTACACTACAGTTTCTACAAAACTAAACACATACTTTACGTATCTGACCTTTCACGTTTATACTGTTGATAGCAGTTCATTAACTTTTTTGTGGAGATGTTTTTTATACCCTCCACCATACTATGGAGGGTATATTAATTTTGTCATTCCGTTTGTAACTCCTCGAAATATTCATGTCAGACCCAACAAAGTATATATATTCTTGATCAGCGTAAAATTCTAAGACGATTTAGCCATGTCCGTCTGTCTGTCTGTGTGTCTGTCTGTCTGTCCGTCTGTCTGTCTGTCTGTTGTAATCACGCTATCTTTCGAACAAATTGAGATAGAAGGCTAAAATTTTGCACACATGTATTTTTTCCCAGTAGGCAGGTTAAGTTCGTAAATGGGCCATGTAGGTCCAAGTTATCATGTAGCCCCCATATAACGGTACCTCCCGATATTCGGTATTTTGATGATTTTAGCGACATTATTCACCGGAATTATTTCAAATTTGGCATTTGAAGTTTGTAATGGATGCTACAGCCTAAGACAGAAAATTATCTGTGCAGGTCCACGTCTTCCTGTAGCCCCCATATAACGGTACCCCCCGATATTCGGTTTTTTGATGATTTTAGCGACATTGTTTACCGAAATCGTTTCAAATTTGGTATTTGAAGTTCGTAATGGATACTACATCCTAAATCAAAAAATGAGCCATGTAGGTCCACGTCTTCATATAGCCCCCATATAACGGTACCCCCGATATTCGGTATTTTGATGATTTTAGCGACATTGTTTACCGGAATCGTTTCAAATTTGGTATTTGAAGTTCGTAATGGATACTTCATCCAAAGTCAAAGAATGAGCCATGTAGGTCCACGTCTTCATATAGCCCCCATATAACGGTACCCCCCGATATTCGGTATTTTAATGATTTTAGCGACATTATTTACAGGGATTGTTTCAGATTTCGTATGTGAAGTTCGTAATGGATACTTCAGCCCATGCCAGAAAATTGTCTGTGCAGGTCCACGTCTTCGTATAGCCCCCATATAACGGTACCCCCCATATTCGGTATTTTGACGATTTTAGCTACATTATAAACAGATTTTTCTTCAAGTTTCGCATTTAAATATTGTAATAATTTATGACAAAAGTTGCCTATGCAGGCCCACGTCGTCGTATAAGCATTCGGTATTTTTAAGATTTTAACAGAATTTTTAACGGGTTTTAATTTTGGAAATTGCCAAATTTGTACCAAATGGTGGAGGGTATTAAAAGTTCGGCCCGGCCGAACTTACAGCTTTTTTACTTGTTATTATTATTATTATTACCCAGATTAAATATTTAAGGCAAATAAATGAGGTTAAAGGTTTTATATCTCCAAGGAATGAACATGATTTTTTGGAATCGTTAAAAATACGACTTTGGAGTCCGAGTCAATAGTTCGACTGCGCAACCCTGTTTAAGTCACTCTACCTAACTGCACGTCAGCTTTAAAAGGCATTGTGCTGCTATTTTTTTTAACAAGTGTTACCAAATAATAATAATATGGACTAAACACACACATATGTTCTACTCACCATTTAACAATATGCATTTTAAAATTCAATCGGATCATTCTAGGCATGCGTTTCAGATGATATCAAAAACATGATATTATAGTTAATTAAACAAATTTCTGTATAAAACTTTTTATTTGTTATACATATAAAATTTTACACTTAAAGTCCTTTGGTTATCCGCTTAACACATTATGCTACCAGTAGTTGAATAAGATTGAATAATATATAATGGTATGTTGAACTTACAAAATTATCTTGAGATTTTATACAAAATGATCGGTGTTATATAAAATATTAAATCTATTTGAGTATAAGTGATAAATGGCTTCTCCTTTGTTTAGTTATAGCAGATGCGATTACGTTTATTCAGAAGATAATTTATGGAGATCGGCGTAGTTGACTATAGCGCGATATAGGAACTCATATTGTGCCTGAAAAAAGGATAGTTCAATAAAATATTACTTATATAAGAATATGTTCTTACATATGTGTCGAGAAGCCTTGGTCTTTGAGATCTTATTTTCCTAGCCGTTGTACATATATCGACGCACTTTTCATTTCGCAGCTGCTGCACAAGAATGCACATGGCCACAAATATAGAGCTTCTGTCAGTCCCCAAACTTAAAAAGAGTATGAATTTTAAAACATTAAAATAGTTCATAAAACTGAAGTGATAAACACTACCTGCAATGAACTGTAAGTGGTGATTTGCACCCTACATTTTTCTCTTTGTTATGGTTGCTCAAAGCCTGATCAACAAGTTCTATTATACCGCGACAAACTTCTGGAACTTCTCCCTCTACTGTAGGCCAGCCATTATATTGCAGTTGTGTTACTTTAAGTGTGTCATTTATTTTGCAATTAGTCACGTTAAATTCTCGACGTGTGTAATATGGACAACTTTCACTTTGCATGTATTTTACAACAATGTGATCAAATTGGATTTCATCATCGGCCCAATATCTAGGGCATCTTCTCGGGCCATCTCCAATCTATTGATAATATAAAAAAAAACAAATAATTACAATTCGAAAAAAAACATATATTAAAATTCTAGTAAAAATGGAAGACATAAAGCGCATGAGCATACTTTTTATATGATAGATATTGTAATATTAATTATTGACGTATGTAAATAATATTAAAAACTAGCTGTCTCGGTCCGCGTTGCCGGCCCGTACTTTTAGTCTTTAATGCATTTTTTTTTAAGTGTTTCCAAAGTTTAGAATACCCTGCTGCGTGGTATTTAGTTTTGCCCAACTCATAATTGAGGGTAGAATGACTGCAGAACAGTCAAAGATTACTAAGAAATTAAATATTTAATTTGAATTACTCTTACATCTATTACCATAACATGGGAATTAATTTTTGGTCATTTAAATTGTGCGTTGGAGACCGTTTAAAGTCCAAATTTTATGCGATTATCCACTTAATATTCGGTATTTCACTGATTGCAGTCCGAATGAATTTTGCATTTTGAGTTCTCATTGGACGGCTTTCCCACATAAAAGAAGTGGTCCACGTTTTGAAATGAGCCTATAGTGTTTGTCGGTCAATTTTGCTTGTATAAATGTGTTCGCATCTTCCAGCTGAAGCACGATGTAGGTCCTGGAGTTGAAAGCTAGATGTCAATTTTAGACATAATAGATCGCCATTTAACATCGAATTGCGCACACACTTTAAAACAGGAAAAACAAATTGAAAAAAAATCTGCAACTTGTTCGCTGATTTTTTACAAGAAACAAATAATTTTGAATTTCGATTCCATTGAAAATTTTTTCTTGATTTTTTTCCGATTTTAGAATTTTTGCAATGAGGTAGTCTCTTTCTTTTAATTTTTATTTTTTTAGCGATTTTGCAAAAGTAATTATCCTTTAACCTTGGTGTGACCGCGCTAAATTATTTAGCCACTACATGATTTGCATAAAACCAAAACCAAAAAAGACTAAAAATCATATAAGAATTCAATTCAAAAAAAAAAACTACAAATGTACATTCGAAAATAGTAAGTCAAAATGAAAAGAAATAATGCAAAATAAAACATTACTATTGTACATTTCAAAAGTCAAAATAATAACGTTCAAATTTCACATTTTTATGCGATTTTTTGGATTTTACCCTTTTCTTGGCAGAAAATCTGAATCAGTAAAAAAAAAAGAAAATCAGATCAGCGGTTCATGAGTCGTAGTAACTAACACAACTTTCTTTTTTATATATAGGGTAAGTGTGCCTAAGTTCGGCATGTCCCAGTAGTCGGCACTTTTTATTTTTAAGCCCAAATAAATGAAACTATTATAACTAAATGTATTTTGTTTACTTCAAATATATTGTCAGCTATCTTTGTGTACAATTTCGCTAAGAACAGATGATTTATTTTAATAAAAATTAAATTTTTGTCTGTGAAGGTCCTCAACAATCCACATTCTTAAGAAAAGTACAATAAAGACGTCGAATCAGTTTGACTAAACAAAAATATTATATTTTAATAAATTAATTTATTATTATTATTAATTATTCTTACAAAAAAATTGGTATGCCGACTGTTGGAACATGCCATACCGACAATTAACAAGTGGTGCCGACTACTGGCAAAAAAGCATTGTTTTAATAAAACTACAAATTTATGAAATTTAATAAAAAGTTATTAAAACTTTATTTATTATTGCAAAAACTATACAAAACTTCGAATCTGAATAAATTAACTTTGTAATAATTGAGAAGTTCCACTCAGAATGGTGAGCGATTAAAAACGCGAAAATCCTAAAAGTGCCGACTACTGGTACACTTACCCTAGATAGCCAGCAACAAAAAATAGAACACACATATTAAGGAGATATTCTTCCCAGTTGACGAGATCGTTTTAGCAAATATAATTTAAAGCCGAAAGGAACTAATATTTAGCAGGCTTTCATCATATTCTACTAAATTTGACGAAGACATTTGTGTCTTAACCGATATTTATCAAAATTCTTCCTATTTTTAGGCACAATTTTGTGAGTATCGTGGTGCGGAGTGCATATTACGAATGTGGAGGAGAAATTTAACAAATCGAATGAATAATATATATGGGAGCTATAGCTATATCTAAACCGATTTCCACTAAATTCGACAGGTCCTAACTAGAGCCACCAATTTAACAGAGAAAACAACATAGCTATGTTAGCGTTAAGAGAGCTACATAAAAAATGTTTTTTCCTTCTTTTTTTTTGATTTTTAATTACTTATCGTATAAAAACGCTAACAAAATGCATTATATAATCATAATTAAACTCGTAGCAAATACTATGTGCCAGGACAAGTTTACACCAAACTGTGCCTTCCAGGACAATTCTGCCGGCACAATATGGGTACCTGCGGAAAGCTTATGAAATCTACTATCCATTGGCATTAAGAAAATTATAGGAAGTTCCGGCCAATTCCGATGTATATGGTCATTTCTGGAGTATGACGAATGTTAGTACAAAAAATTATGCAAATCGGTCCAGCCGTTCTCAAGTGATTCCATTACCAAAGAACAACAATTGATTTTTATACCCTCCACCATACTATGGAGGGTATATTAATTTTGTCATTCCGTTTGTAACTCCTCGAAATACTCATGTCAGACCCAACAAAGTATATATATTCTTGATCAGCGTAAAATTCTAAGACGATTTAGCCATGTCCGTCTGTCTGTCTGTGTTTCTGTCTGTTGTAATCACGTTATCTTTCAACAAATTAAGATAGAAGGCTAAAATTTTCACACATGTATATTTTGCCAGTAGGCAGGCTAAGTTCGTAAATGTAGGTCCAAGAAATCATATAGCCCCCATATAACGGTACCCCCCCCCCCCCCATATTCGGTATTTTGATGATTTTAGCGACATTATTTAACAGAATCGTTCCAAATTTGGTATTTGAAGTTCGTAGTAGATACTGCAGCATAAAACAGAAAATGGGCCATGTAGGTCCACGTCTTCGTATAGCCCCCATATAACTGTACCTCCCGATATTTGGTATTTTGATGATTTTAGCGACATTATTTACCGGAATCGTTTCAAAGTTGACATTTGAAGTTCGTAATATATGCTGCAGCATTAAACAGAAAATGGGCCATGTAGGCTATCTTCGTATAGCCCCCATATACCGTACCCCCCGATATTCAGTATTTTGATGATTTTAGCGACATTATTCGCCGGAATTGTTTCAAATTTGGCATTTGAAGTTCGTAATGAATACTACAGCCTAAGACAGAAAATTATCTGTGCAGGTCCACGTCTTCGTATAGCCCCCATATACCATACCCCCCGATATTCGGTATTTTGATGATTTTAGCGACATTATTTACCGGAACCGTTTAAAAGTGGGCATTTGAAGTTCGTAATAGATGCTGCAGCATTAAACAGAAAATGGGACATGTAGGTCCACATCTTCGTATAGCCCCCATATAACGGTAGTCCCCGATATTCGGTATTTTGATGATTTTAGCGACATTATTTAGCGAAATCGTTCCAAATTTGGTATTTGAAGTTCGTAATAGATACTGCAGCATAAAACAGAAAATGGGCTATATAGGTCCAAGTCTTCATATAGCCCCCATATACCGTACCCCCCGATATTCGGTATGTTGATGATTTTAGCGACATTATTTACCGGGATTGTTTCAAATTTCGCATGTGAAGTTCGTAATGGATACTTCAGCCCATGCCAGAAAATTGTCTGTGCAGGACCACGTCTTCGTATAGCCCCCATATAACGGTACCCCCCATATTCGGTATTTTAATGATTTTAGCTACATTATAAACAGATTTTTCTTCAAGTTTCGCATTTAAATATTGTAATAACTTATGACAAAAATTGCCTATGCAGGCCCACGTCGTCGTATAAGCATTTGGCATTCTTAAGATATTAACAGAATTTTTAACGGATTTTATTTTTTGGAAATTGCCAAATTTGTACCAATTGGTGGAGGGTATTAAAACTTACAGCTTTTATACCCTCCACCATAGTATGGAGGGTATATTAAGTTTGTCATTCCGTTTGTAACACCTCGAAATATACATTTTAGACCCCACAAAGTATATATATTCTTGATCAGCATAAAATTCTATGTCGATTTATCAATGTCCGTCCGTCTGTCCGTCTGTCCATCTGTGGAAATCACTCTAGCTTCCGAACGAAATGAAGTAGGTTGATAAAATTTTACTCAAATGTGTACTATGTCTGCAGGACTTTTGGTATTGAAAATGGGCCATATAGGTCCACGTCTTCGGATAGCTCCCATGTAGGTCTACGTCTTCGTATAGCCCCCATATAACGGTACCCCCAATATTCAGTATTTTGATGATTTCAGCGACATTATTTACCGGAATGGTATTTGAAGTTCGTAATGAATACTACAGCCTATCACAGAAAATTGTCTGTGCAAAACCACGCCTTCGTATAGACCCCATATAACGGTACCCCCGATCTTCGGTATTTACATGATTTTAGCGAACCTATTTACCGGAATTGTTTCAAATTTCGCATTTGAAGTTCGTAATGAATACTACAGCCTATGACAGAAAATTGTCTGTGCAGGTCCACGTCTTCGTATAGCCCCCATATAACGGTACACCCCGATATTCGGTATTTTGATGATTTTGGCGACATTATTTATCGGAATTGTTTCAAATTTCGCATTTGAAGTTCGTGAAGTTCGATATAACAGCCTATGAAAAAAAATTTTCTGTGCAGATCTACGTTTTATAACCACCTTGGTACCTCCCTATATTCGACGATTTTGACGATTTTATCTACATTGTAAACAGATTTTTTTCAAGTTTCGCATTTGAATATTGTGATATAAGTTGCCTTGTGACAAAAGTTGCCTATGCAGGTCCACGTCGCCATATAGACTCTAATATACGGTTACATGATTTTAACAGAATTTTAAAATCCTTTTATTTTTTATTTATTTTTTTTTTTTTGAAAATTGTTAAATTCGTACCAAATGGTGGAGGGTATTCAAAGT